CAACAAATGACGTGCATTTTTTTCTCAATTGACAGTGGTACATCATCATCATCATCATAGTTATGTAGTTCAAAAACTTGGAGTGACGTCTGTATTTGTGCATGTGGAAGCTGCAAATACTACAGATGGACGGTCTATTATTTAAAGCAACTGTAGTTTAGGAGCTGAAATTAATGTCTCTAACTGTCTAATAAAGGTCATACAGAGTAGGAGAGGAGGGCATGGAACGGTTAGATTATGATTGGATTTTTTTCCCCCTTGACATGGTAAAGTATTGCTCATAAGATAACAGCGCTCTGGTTACCATTCACTGCTACCCTCTTCTGTATGAAAGATAATGCAAAGTTGTAATATCACTATTTCACTTTTCTAAAAGATTTAGAAGTCCCAGGCCACTTGTTCTGCGGCTGCCTGAGGCTATTCTACCTGTAATTGCTTTGGGCTTCAGCTTGACAAGATACATCTATAAATCGTTCTGAGTCTGCAAGGTTAGTTGTTTTGGAAGGATGGTTTGAGGAAGATAATCTAATCTAATTTATGGCTTTTTAATCTAGCTATATTTTGCAGCTGGGAAGAAAGAGCTGGCTGTTCCACGTCATTTTTGTTCTGGACTGTTTGCCATGCCAACATACGTAGTACAAAAATCACCATTCCAACACTGTAACTAATATTATTGTAAGTGATGGTCTTTTGGGCCGTTGCAGTAGATTAGTTTAATGTTCTTTATACAGGCATTTTGGCCTCATTATTCCAAGTACAATTAACTGTTAATCTCCAAGCATGCTAATGAGAGTGGGATTATCCTCATGACAGTTAGTCCAACTCTTTAGATGTATACACATAGTGCAGAAGAAGAGATAAATATCTCTCTTTTGGCGAGTTTGCAGTTCGTGCAAATGCTACAGCCAAAAAGTTCCTTAGATCCCACATGTCCCATATGAAGAGAGATTAAAAAGACTTGGACTTTTCATCCTAGAAGAGAGGAGACTAAGTGGGGGAGGGGAGGAAGGGATACAATAGAGGTCTATAAAATTATGACTGGTTTGGAAAAAGTGAATAAGGAAAAGTTCTTTACTTATTCCCATGATATAAGAACTAGGAGTCACCAAATGAAATTAGTAGGCAGCAGGTTTAAAACAAACAAAAGGGAGTTTTTCTTCACTCAGCGCACAGTCAACCTCTGGAACTCCTTGCCAGAGGATGTGGTGAAGGCTAGAACTTGAACATGGTTCAAAAAAGAACTAGATTCAGGGAGGTTAGGTCCATGAATGGCTATTAGCCAGGATTGTTAGGAATGGTGTCCCTAGCCTCTGTTTCTCTGGAGGTGGGTGACAGGGGAGGGATCATGTGAAGATTACCTGTTGTGTTTCCTACCTCTGGGGCATCTGGTATTGGCCACTGTCAGAAGACAGGGTACTGGGCTAGATGGACCATTGATCTGACCCAGTGTGGCTGTTCTTATGTTTTTAGATGAGCTGTGATACCTTACAGGAGAAGAGGTTTGTGTGTGAGTGACTCCTCATGGGGGTCCTGTTCCTTGTAGGTGTACAGGATATTCTGAAGAGAGAAAGGGAGAGTTTGGTTTGTAACCTGGTGTACACAAAGTTCCCATTGGATTACAGATTTAAATGGTTACCATGGACCAACTTGCTGATTGTAGTTTATAGTTTGATTATGTGTGCTAAATTTCCTTCTCCGTTACATGGATATGAATCCAGAGTGACTCTGTTGAAATCTCACGAGTGTAGCCTGCACACCAATGCTAGGTATTGTTACTATTATGTAACCTGGACTGGGTTTCAGTTTTGTACAGCTACTGACAGAACTTCTATCCATCTATCCAGATTCAACCTTTTCTATCAAGAGTTGCATATAGAACATTCTTATGTGTGGGATAAAACCTGATAAAACTCTCGCTGCCAACAAAAAGATTTTATCCTGCCGAGAAGATTTTATCCGATGTAGAGAATGTGCCTTGGCGATTGTTTGTTCATTAGTTTTCCATATGCTGAATCAAAAAACAAAACAAACAAAAATGACCCTTAGTCCTAAAAATGTGCTTTCCAAACTACCCAGCGTCGCAGAAGTGCTGAACTTTTTCACCCCGTTACCAATATCTTGGAGATACAATGTTTGTTTTAAAGATACACACTGACAGAAGTCTGCCACAGGCAAATTTCAACAGCAGACCAACTTCAGACACTTCCCATTAAAATTTTATAAAAAGAATTCAAATAATAATTACATAGAAAATTCAAATAGCATAAAATGTCGCACCCTGTTCAATTGTATACTGAAAAATAACATGTGTAAAGGAAACCAAGAAATTATGCCTCATTTTAAGCCTATCTCCGATTGTACCTTTGACTGTGGAAGATAAAGGAATGCCTCACTTACAATTTTGTTGACTATAGATATAATATTTACAAATACCGTAGCAAACAGAATTCCAAATGTGAAGGAAATGCACGAAAAACCCAATCTGAATTCCCAATCCAAAGTATTAAATCAAATTAGATTTCTGTACATGCTTGTAGAGCCCTGCAAATCCATGGCTCATTTTTGCACTGAAGATACGCATTTTGTATGTAGAATCCTGAACATTTGTGGATATCTGCTTTATAGCCATAATATCCACATCCACAGATGTGGATGCGACTATCCGCGGATCATTTTGGCAGATGCAGATGTGGATGCAGCTACCAACTTTGTATCCGCCAGGGCTCTACATACTTAAGTCCTTGTCTCTGTTGGCTGTGAATTTCCATTTGGTACAGCTTGAAAACCAGGGGTTTCCTCATTCAACCCACTGTATGAGGGTTGCATGCAACAAATGGATCTTAATATCCAGCATAACAATAGCACAGCTCCATTTTTACATATTACAGGAAATTCTAGCCAGCACACATCCTATAATACAAGATCCCTCGTTTATGTAGCTTGTTTGCAAGATGTCAAGGAGGCAGAATCACAGAGCTCTCCTCAGTGACTCTGAAGTTAACTCCTGCCACCAGTCTGTGTAATAGGAAGAACATGAGTATCATGTACATGGACCATAATCTGTTTAAACACATCAATGGCCAGGGCCGAATCCTGAATCCCACTGTGCATGGCTGAAGCTGAACCCAAGAGCTTTAGCCCTGCGCGGTGGAGCTCAGGTTACAGGCTCCCTTACTGGAACTTAGGCCCTTGGACTTCAGCTTTGGCCTACCTCCTCCCAGGGCATGGGGTCAGAAAGCATTTGTCTTTGGGCCATCCTTCAGAGGTCAAGTAGTAATTTTTATTGTCAGATAGGGGGTCGTCATGTAACGAAGTCTGAGGACTCCTGGTGTAACGGGTGGCAAGACTGGAGACTTAAACACCTCCTAAAACCAACAACACCTGTTGTGTGAACAGCAAGGGAGTTAACACAAAAAGCAAACCAAAATGGAACCAGGAGTGGCCCAAATCGATAATTGCATTTTGTTATGACTCTTACAGCTCTCCTTCCTACGCCCATCATGCATATGGTGTGGTATACGCTGGTAACTCCGGTACTGTATATTAGATTATAAAGTCTTGAGGGAAGGAAATTGTATATGCTTTCCTACAGTGTCTAATCCACTTTAGGGTATTGGAGACGTATAATGTGCTCAAACTTTAATGCCTGCATACCGTATATACTCGAGTATAAGTCGACCCGAATATAAGCCGAGGCACCTAATTTTACCCCCAAAATCTGGGAGCCTGTGGTCTGCTGGGGACGGTCCCCAGCAGACCACAGGCACCCAGATTGAAGCGGCAGCCGCGGCGGTTCCCCGCGCCCCTGAGGCTTTGCCAGAGCAAAGCCTCAGAGGCGCGGGACCCCCGCAGCTGCGGCTTCAGTCCGGGAGCCTGTGGTCTGCTGGGGACGGTCCCCAGCAGACCACAGGCACCCAGATTGAAGCGGCAGCCGCGGCGGTTCCCCGCGCCCCTGAGGCTTTGCCAGAGCAAAGCCTCAGAGGCGCGGGACCCCCGCAGCTGCGGCTTCAGTCCGGGAGCCTGTGGTCTGCTGGGGACGGTCCCCAGCAGACCACAGGCACCCAGATTGAAGCGGCAGCCGCGGCGGTTCCCCGCGCCCCTGAGGCTTTGCCAGAGCAAAGCCTCAGAGGCGCGGGACCCCCGCAGCTGCGGCTTCAGTCCGGGAGCCTGTGGTCTGCTGGGGACGGTCCCCAGCAGACCACAGGCACCCAGATTGAAGCGGCAGCCGCGGCGGTTCCCCGCGCCCCTGAGGCTTTGCCAGAGCAAAGCCTCAGAGGCGCGGGACCCCCCGCGGCTGCCGCTTCAATCTGGGTGCCTGTGGTCTGCTGGGGACCGTCCCCAGCAGACCACAGGCTCCCGGACTGAAGCCGCAGCTGCGGGGGTCCCGCGCCTCTGAGGCTTTGCCCGCCTCAGTTCTCGAGATGCTGACTCGAGTATAAGCCGAGGGGGGCATTTTTCAGCACAAAAACTGTGCTGAAAAACTCGGCTTATACTCGAGTATATACGGTAAGTGCTTTCTGGATTAGGGCCTATCTGGGGAGTGAGAAGAATGGTCTTGTGGCTAAGGCATTGCGTTGGGTCTTTGATCGCAATTCAATCCCTAGCTCTACCGAGACTTCCCTGTTATCTTGGGCATGTCACTTAACCCTTTGCATGCCCCATTTATAGAATAGGGATAATACTTTGCCTACCCTCCATCTGTCTGGTGTATTTATATTGCCACATCCCTGGGGCTGGGACTGAGTCTCATTGTATATGCAAAAGCTATCACAGCAGGGCCCTGATCTTGGTTTGGATCTCCAATGGTACTGCGATGTAAATAAGAATAAGAGTGTGGTGGCGTGGCAAGTCAGGGCAGGAGGGATTTCCCTAAATGTGGGGTATTCCAAAGGAGCTATATCTGGTACACGGAGCTGTGTTTTGCATGATGTGCCTGGTACGTAAGGCAGCAACCACAGTGCTCAATCTAACCATGTTTTACTTCCTTTCTCCCATCTTAGCAGAGTCCCAAGACCCCCTTCTCCGACCTGGCTGATGATGAAAAGATCTTTAACGGAGGAGATAGCATGTGGAAGGACCAGAGTCAGGATCAAGCCTTGCTCTCAGAAATCACAGAGGAGGACTTGGAGGCCATCCGTCAGCGGGAAGAAGCCATACAAGCAGGCTTGGAAGCTCAGAGTGGGCATTAGGTTTGCCACACACTGAAGAAAATGAAAACAAATATTAATTTTACATTGTTGGCATTGTGACATCTCCATTAGATGTGAAGGGTAGTTTCAGGTATATTTTACATCTGGAACAGGCAGAGCAAGGCAGAATTACAATCCATATAGTCTCTGATGAAAGCTAAAGGAATGAGAGTGTAGGATTCAGTGTCTTTAAACATGTCTTCCGTCTCATCTTCTATAGTGTTAGCACTTCTTGGTGCTAGTGCAGACAGAGCTTTGTGTGCATGACAATCAGAGGATCAAACCCAGCATGTGGGAGACATGGGACAGATACAGTTTGCTGGCATTCGAAAACATGGTGTTTGGAGAAGATTACAGTGTAGGACTAAAATGCTGATCTTTCTGCTACTGGTTGGTTATCACTACAGGTAATATACCCAGATATTGCCCGGTGTCTGGTATTGGCTCGCAACTAGATCTAGATCTAGATATATCTTTATCTTTTGCTCAACCCATTTTTTTCCCTCCATGTTCAGTATTTTTTGTGAAAGTATCTGGCAACCAAATACCCAGATATGTTGTTGAATGCTAGGTTGGACAACCCACCTTATTCTATACACACATCTACTTCTTGCTTCCTTTGTTTCCATCAGCAGTCAATGGCTAATGCCAATATGCATGCACAAGGAAATACTGTACCTCTCCTACTTTAATAATTAAATATTTTGCTCTTTTATGTAAGAATATGTAGTTTCTTCACATGGTAATGGTCAATGAAAGGAATCATATTGCAGCATTACTGTATTTTTTTTACTAAAAGGTAACACAAAGTTGCCTTTTATAAATATCTTTATAAATATGACGACAAAAAGTGGCAAAAGGTTTTTTTTTACAGAGATTTGACTGAGTTATATAAATTCATTTGTCCCTTTTAAAAATGCAGTTCATGCTTTTGAAAAATTCAGTTGCTTGAATTTCACCAGTAAATCGATGTGAACAGACAACGTTCTCAATCATAAACCTATGCACATGTAAACTAAGAATGAACCTATAGGTAGGGCTTCAGAATGAATCAGAACATTTGATTAAGAGATATACTTTATCTTCTAATTGGCTTAAGCTAATTTTATTGGAATGGATTTGGATATTAGTGAGGCAAAACGTATGATGCAATTTACTGTACAAGAAGAGGATAAATGTTCACACTGTGGTCCGACATACTGTGTCTTTGAGAAGGGGATACATGCTGCTTTTGTACAGACATAAGAACTAGATACGGTTCAGTGTTTTAAATGAGAGTCTTATTTGTTTCGTGGGGGTATCTCTTCCCTAATGCACACACAACTTCTTCTCAAGTTGGTTGTATGGTAGTGAAGATGACTAAGGGTACATCTACACTGCAACATTATTTCAAAATAACTAGCTCTATTCCGAAATAACTTAGTCCGTGTCTACACATCAGGCAGTTATTTCAAAATAGTGTCAAAATACTGTCAAGCTGGAGGACTTCTTACTCTGACTCCTGTAACCCTCATTATACGAGAAAATAAGGGAAGTCAGAGGAAGAGTGCTCTATTTCGAAGTAAATGCAGTGTAGACGCTCCCTATTTTGAAATAAGCTGTTTTGAAATAAGATATGCAATTGACGTAGCTCAATTTGAGTAGCTTATTTTGAGTAAACCCTGCAATGTAGACACACCCAATGGGTACGTCTACACTTGCTCCCTTGTTCGAACTAGGGATGCAAATGTAACCAACTGAAATTGCTAATGAAGCGGGGATTTAAATATCACACACTTCATTAGCATAATCTCGCCCATGCACTATTCCGCTTGCCAGCTGATTCAAACCAGGAAGTGTGCTCCAGGATGCGTTAGTTCAAATCAGCCCCTTGAGAAGTAAGATTAGTTACTCATGAGGAGTAACGTTAGTTCGAACCAAGGTGTTTGATTCAAACTAACGCGTCCTGGAGCGCACTTCCTGGTTCAAATCCACTGGCAAGCGGAATAGCGCACGGGCGAGATTATGCTAATGAAGCGCAGAATATTTAAATCCCTGCTTCATTAGCAATTTCGGTCGGCTACATTTGCATCCCTAATTCGAACTAGGGAGCAAGTGTAGACGTACCCTAAGATACAGAAAGTCATTAACTAGTTTTGTTTCCAGGGATGAAATTGAAAGATGATACTACATTTTAGAAGCTGTACCTCTCTGTGGGCATGAGTTGACAGCAGTATCCAGTGAAAATCTCCATTGGATTAGCCTCCTGCAGAACCAGCTATGAAGTAGTTCACTCTAGTGTGTTGCATAAATTAGTACTTTGGGATATTGCTGCTCTGAGGTATGCTTAGGTGTTTATTTTAGGTTCTGCTAGTACAATCATCTTGGGTATTGTACACAAGTAAACACAATTAAAATATGTCCAGCCCAATGATCTGGATATTCCATCTGTATGTACAACTAAAATCATCATCATCATCATCATCATCTGAGAGGATAATAATGATTCAGGAAAGACTTACCTAAATAAGATAAGTTTACAGTGTCTTGAAGTTAGTACAGTCCATGTTTGTAGATATCCTCCCAGTACATTTGTAGAAAAGGTGGCCCACAATGTAAAAAGGGCCATCTCCCATCAAAATGAAATTTTTAGACAGAGACGAAGGACAGCTTAGGTGATCTCCTTGGGGTAAAGGATAGAGACAATCATTCCGACATGTGGGGCATTGTGACAGGATGGACCAAACCCTAAAGCTTCCTGCCGGAGACCCTGTGGTCTGGCCCCACCCCACCCCACCCCAGAAAAAAAGGCCATAGATAAGTCCTCCAGGAGGTTAGAGTGGCTATGAAGGAACTGGCCAATCAGAGGTCATAGAATCCCTATAAAAGGATCTGCAGTACCTGAGTTAGCTTAGTGTCTCTGGAGCCCTGAAGAAGTGAAGACTGACTGGCTGGCTGGCTAAGGGGTCAGCAGCACCACAGAGAGCTCTGTGGGGAGCTAGTGTGAAATTGTGTTGAACTGAGGGAAAGCCCCCTGAGCTAGGGGCAAGAAACTGTCTCCTGGAGGAGAGGCCCTGAAGGCACCATTTGCTCCTGAGTGAGGAATCAGAAATGGGACACTAGCAGAGGGGACTGGAATGGGCCCTGGTTAGGTATGCACCCCAGAAGGTATTTGTGATACACAGGGTGTAACTTGGCCGGAGTGCTGAGTTGCTGAAGTGGCCTTCAGTGTTGACAGCGAGACAGAGCAGGCACCTGCACTCAGCCAGACGGAGGCGCTCACGTGAGGTGAGTGCCACCCTGTTGCAGGCATACGTCAGTGTTAATTTCACAGGTGCAGTCTAGTCCAGTGTTTCTCAACCAGTGCTACGAGAATCCGTAGGGGTACTTGAGAAAAGTCTGGGGAGTACGTCAGCACAACTGAAATTTGGAGAAAACTGAAATTTTTTTTTTGAGTTTTACAGCGCTTTGTTATTTTTGTACTTTTTACACCCCAAAATTTCATTGCCCGCCTGGCTACGATTAAGTTGATTAAACAAATGTGTTGCAATGATAGAAAAAAAAATGGTGTGTCTGAAAACTGTACGTACTGGGGGTACTTATAACTTTTTTTTAAAGGGGTACTTTATAAAATAAGGTTGAAAAACACAGGTCTAGGCTACTTTGCACTCTGCTTTCTCCTATGTATCAGTGCTAAAGAGCCAGGCTGTGGAGGGGTGGATTTTTGATATCCAAAAATCATGGATGTAATGGTATTTTCCCAGGAAGTGGTGCAGATGGGTTATATTCTTCTGATCTTGTTGAGAGAATGTAACAGCTGCCTTTCCATATGCATGTTCCTACCATTCCCTGCCCAGCACAGAATTGTCAGTTCCCTGTAAAATACTAGATGAAACCTTCCTACGATAATCAGATGGAAGATCATAGTATCATAGAAGATTAGACATGGAAGAGATCACTGGAGGTCATTGAATCCAGCATCGCCTGCTCAAAGCAGGACTAACCCCAAATAAATCATTGTCACTGACCTTAAAACTGTGCCATTTTCCTTCTTGGCTGCAAGGGCACACTGTTGATTCAAATCCAGCTTCTTGTCTACTATAATCCCCAAAACTGACACTTAGCCAGTCGGTCCCCTGCCTGTAGCAGTGCATGGGATTCTTACGTCCCAAGTGCAGGACTCTGCACTTGTCTTTGTTAAATGTCATCAGATTTCTTTTGGCACAGTCCTCCAATTTGTCCTGACTCTACCCCTACCCTTCAGGTTAGCTACCTTTTCCCCTAGCTTAGCGTCATCTGTGAACCTCCTGACGGTGCAATACATCCCATCATGCACATCGTTAATGAAGATGTTGAACGAAACCAGCCCCGGGACCGGCTCATGGGGCACTGCCCTTGACACCGACTGCCAACTAGACATTGAGGTGTAGTTCGTCAGGTCTATAGCTCAATGAATCTGATGATCTAGCCAGCTTTCTATCCACCTGATTGTTAGAGCCCTGAGCTGAAACAAAATTTGTGACTGCATCTTCATCTGCATCTGCATCCGCAAAAATGAGCCAGGGATATCTTCATCCACATCTGCTGATGCGGATACTCGTAGATTTGCAGGATCTACTTATGGTCTGTTTTTCCAAGCCATGCTTCTTTAATATGCTAGAAAGAATATTGTGGGAGACTGTTGGAGAAGATGCCCAGAAGATATAGAAGACTTGACTCGAGTTGCTACAAAGTTGCTAAAACTATACAGACACAACACACCTTTATTTTTAATTTAGATTCTTACTGATTTTGTAGGCTTTCCAACTATGACATCCAATTCCCTTCCTGTTAGCTAGGTGTTATATCATTCACTCAGCCACTTGCATAAGGTGATAGAGATTCAGGGTTCTGTTTCTGAAGAATTTGTTTCCCCACTGACATCACAACCGAAAACCGGTTTGGATTGATAACTGAAACGGCACAGTGACCTTGGGAGTCTACACAACTTATATATTCTTGCACACAGAGCTTCAGTTATTCTTTAATTAATTGGAAGAGGATAAAATATAAGAAAATTAGCATAGTGTATTAAGTCGGTCCATCATTATGCTGCATTAAGCAGGTGTTGAGCAGTCCTGCTGCAGTCGGTATTGCTAATTTAAAACGTGTTTTGAAAGAAATGTGATGAGAATGATATGGACCATGCCTCACAGCTTTCTGGATATACTTTATATAAGCTGGATATACTTTATTATTATTTTCCAACTTCACATACTCAGCCCTGGCAGACAGTCACTATTAGTGGGTACGGTCACTTGTGTCACATCATTGGGCAGTATGGTGCCTTCATTCCAGTTCCTGGTGGATGCGTAAACACACTGTTTTTTGAAAAAAGAAGACCACAATGACGACACATACATCTCTCCCTCCCCTCTCCCAATAGGGGTCTGTTTTGACAGGCTCGGCAAAGAGGGGGAGGACTGACTAGACTATGGAGAATGGATGATCCTTGGAAGTAGGCCGCTGACGAGAGAGCAGGGACGTAAAGGGGGCAGTTGACCTGGGGCCCAGCAATTCAAAGGGGCCTGGGAATCCTGGCTGCTCCCACTGCTGGTGCCCTGGACCTTAAAAATTGCTGCCCGAGCGCCGCACCACATGCTGCAGGTGGCTCTCAGAGCAGGCAGTCGGGGTGGTGCGTTCCAGGTGCTGTGAAGGGCTGGCTGTCCTAGCGCTGCCCCTCTGCCCGATGCCCTGTCCCTTCAGGGAGTAGTGTCAGGTCTCCCCCACCTCGCCCAGGGGCCTGTAAAGGCTGCCAGCACCCCTGCCTGGAAGTGATCTTTTTAATTTAGAGGGAAGGTGTGTTGGTCGGGCAGATGTGTGTTGGTAGGACAGTTGTTTCCACTGAGTCAACACTGGAGACGTGTTACATTGTGGACCCCACTGCACTCACCACCCACGCTGTCTAAACCTTGTCTTTCTTCTCAACCTCAGACCTTTGAGTCTCACCCTCAGCTCTACACAGATCCACCTGGAAGGACTCAGTTCCTTTCTTCTCCTTTTCCCTTCCCTTGCCCCATGGATAGCACCTCCATGTTTATACACCCTCCCATTGACTGTCTTATGAGTGGTTTAAGCAGTACCCTTCTGCCACTACTGAAGCCCACACTTCCATGAGTCTTGAATCTTGCTCTCTCTGGCCTCATGAAGCTACCTATTGAGCGACAGGTAATGAGCTCCCTGCAGGTGATATTCTTGGTAGCAATTCCCTCCTCTAACCACGTCAGCACACTCATGCCAAGAGCACAGTCCACTTAAACTGTATCCCACAAGCACAAAGTACCTCAGACTCCTCCCAGAATTCCACCTGTCAATCAGTGCATCCAACTTTCCACCCCTAACCACACCCTCCTCCCTTCCCTCAGTGTCTGCTGTGCACTGGTTTTCTACCTCAGCTGCTTCTCATAATGGCTGCCTGAGACAGCCCAGCTGGGAAGATACTGTTAATATCGGCTTGCCCCTCCACTCCTCACCAGAGCCCATCTGCCAAGGACAGGGCCTGAGCGAGCCAGAGTCCCCCAAGACTTCCCCTCCCTCTTGGCATGTTTCTGACACTCTTGGCCCCAGGAGGCAGGCCTGAGCTGGGCACAGAATGGGGTGTCACTAGGCCAGATTCTCTGGATTCTGCTCGGCTACAATCAGTGCTGGCCCTATGCTAGTGTCCAGAAACCCCACTCCTGCAACCCAAGATGCCCAAGAGTCAGCAGGACTGGCTGCCCTGGCCTAGGGAGGTGGGGCTGGAATTTCCTCCCATTGGAGTTGTGTGGGGCGATTATGTGTTCCCTCACTTTACACTGGGGACCTTCCACCCCTCCAGTGTCAGGAGGCATGAAATGTTTATGAACTGGAGGTTCTTCCCAACGAGTGGTCCCTATGTGTATTCCACTACCCACACTGCATCTTTTCCTGCAGTGGACTGGACTACACAGAGGTAACAGGGACACTAGAAAGGCATCGACCCGCACTACCAATTATTATACCCTCGGCTGCGAGCATGAGGAAATCGCAAGACACATGCAGGTCAGCAGACACTGCTAACAAACACTTCCAGACTCAGGCGCCTGGCATGCATGCACACCCATTTAGGGAATACAAATAGGAACCACGCATCTTGAAGAATCTCCAGTCAGAGGCAGGTAACCTCAGATTGCAGCAGTGGAGATTTAGGGTTAGACACTAACAAAAAAATCAGAAATGTAAAGGTAATTAAAGCAATGGAACATATTACCTAGGGAGACTGAGGAATTGCAACCGTTAGAGGTTTTTAAGAACAGGCTACACAGACACCTATCTAGAATGGTCTAGATAATACTCACCCCTGTCTCAGTTCAGGGGACTGGAGTAAATGACATACTGAGGTCCCTTCCACGCCTACGTTTCTGTAATTCTCGTTCTATCATTAGAGATAGAAAATCCTGTTGGCTTGACATGTCCATCTCCTTGGAGTCAATTCTGGATTGTTCACTGCGGAATATGCTTGGCTGTATTGTCCATTTAACTTTAAATCACCCAAGCTACAGGGCTGGCACCATGTATTTTGGGAGATTATTTCATGGTCCAGTAGATTTCACTGTTGATGAAACTCTCTATTCTTGTTAAATATCCCTTCCTCATTCTCGGCCTTCTACACCTAGTGAAACTCGCTTGGATCCTCTGAACAATTCTTCTTCCTTTTTGACATTAGCCTTCCTCAAATACTAACAGCCAGTTATTGTCCTGCTCATAAGCCAATCTCTCTTGCTCTTCAATCACTTTATTTCTGTTATCTCTGTTCCGCCTGATTGTCACAGTTCAGAGCAACTGAACCTGTATTTCTTTCCATGGGTTCACCTCGGTCACCAGCTCTAAGCCCCAAGCTCCTCTTGGCTGGAGAGACGTCTCTCTCTCCCTCCTGACCAGGGTTTTTCCAGACTGGACACTTCCCCACTGACACTATGATTGTCCCAGCAAACCAGACTACCTCATCCAGCCAGTGTTTATGCTCTGCTTCCTCTCCGAAAACTATGAACAGCTGTATTTGTTGGCAGTCACAAGTTACCCCATAGTGCTTTATAAGCAAGCATTATCATAGAATCATAGAATACTAGGACTGGAAGGGACCTCGAGAGGTCATCAAGACCAGTCCCCTGCCCTCATGGCAGGACCAAATACTGTCTAGACCATCCCTGATAGACATTTATGTAACCTACTCTTAAATATCTCCAGAGATGGAGATTCCACAACCTCCCTGGGCGATTTATTCCAGTGTTTGACCACCCTGACAGTTAGGAACTTTTTCCTAATGTCCAAGCTAAACCTCCCTTGCTGCAGTTTAAGCCCATTGCTTCTTGTTCTATCCCCAGAGGCCAAGATGAACAAGTTTTCTCCCTCCTCCTTATGACACCCTTTTAGATATCTGAAAACGGCTATCATATCCCCCCTTAATCTTCTCTTTTCTAAACTAAACAAACCTAATTCCTTCAGCCTTCCCTCATAGGTCATTATATTATACTTAAGGTGCACTTAAAACATATAAAAAACAACTAAAATGTCTGCTAAAAAATTACCAGGGGCCACCCAACTGTTTTAAGTGATTTTAGTAATCCTCAGGAAGCCTCCCAGGAAGGATTGGGGGTGGGAGCCTGCACAGAAGGTCCTGTCAATTTTCTGCTTCGGAAAGAAAGCTCCACCCCTTATCTAGTGGATTTATACTACTACCGCTACATTGAACCCTGGAAGATGGACCAATCCACCGTCGATCTCTCATGTAGCGTAGATGTGCCTTAGCAGTTTTATAGAGTAAGATGGTATTTTATTTGCCTATCCCGTGGCCTGTTGTCGCAAGTCAGAAACAGCGTTGTTTATCAGCACACATTCCCCCTGGAAAAACACAGGCGGTGACCTTTTCCACTGACTTCAGTGTGCCCAGGATTTAGTCAAGGAGGAACAGCCCGAATTCAGGGCGAGGAACCTGGAACAAACGAGTTCTTATTCTGACTTTGACGCTCTCCTTGGCTTTTGGGAAGATGCCAAATCTCCCCACAACAATTTTTCTTTCACGTAAAAGTGCCTGGCAGAGAATCTAATGCGGGTTCATTTGTCTAGCTGTCATCTGTGATGAAACTCATGTCACATGTACTAACCCGGCCCATGAAGCTCCATCTAGGGTGCTGATTAGGAACAGACCGTGGTGGAGAAGGGCGTATGCTGTCTAGTGGAATGATTATTTTTTTTACCCACCGCTCATCTATTAATATTACATTGATTTCTCTATTAACTCATCACTGACAATGGGAAAGAGCAAACAGTAGGTTATAAAAATCCATTTTGAAGACAGTAAGAGGAACACATTATCAGATGGTACAAATAATGAATGCCATACGTAGTGACCCCTAATTTCTGCCAACAAAAACTTGATAACACCCCATGCAGTCATTTATCCTATACTATACATACAAATAAGTTTGAGTCAATGTGATGTCAGCCGCTGTGTGTTGATTGGTTGTTAGAGGCATGTCACTGATTTTTAAAAATGGTTAAAGAATGTTTAAACCCACACACTGGGACCAAACCTTCAGAAGAGTTCAGCTCCCATGTGGCGCTGGGTACGGGAAGGGGTTTAGGTGGGGCATGTGGGATGCAGGCTCCAGGAAGGAATTTGGGTGTTATGCACTTCCTGTGCCTGCAGTCACCACCCCTGCAACTCCCATTGGGTGCAGTTTCTGGCCAATGGAAGGTGTGGAGCTGATGTTCAGGGGCGGAGGGGGCAAGGGCAGCACACAGAGCCCCCTCTGGCTTTTTTTCCACCTAGGAACTGAGGGGCATGTCACTGCTTCCAGGGAGCCATATGGAGCCAGGTAGAGGGCCTGCCAGCCCTGCACCAACCAAACTTTTAACAGCCCCATCAGCAGTGCTGACTGCAGCTGCTAGGGTCCCCCTTTTGACTGGACGTTCTGATAAAAAACCAGACTCCTGGCTTCCTTAGTGAACAACTGGAAGCAGATCTGAAAAGGCCAATCTAATTCTCGGTGTGTTAACAAGACTGTTGTATGAAAGAGATGGAAGGTATTTGTCCCGCTCTGGTTGGTACTGGTGAGACCTCAAGTGTGGCCAGTTCTGGGTGCCACACTTTAGGAAGGATGTGGTCAAATTGGAAAGAGTCCAGATGAGAACAACAAAAATCAGAAACGGTTTAGAAGTACTGGCCTATGAGCAGAGGTTAAAAACAATGGGCATGTTTAATCTTGAGAGAAGAAGATCGAGGGGAGACCTGATTACAGTCTTCTAGTATGTTAAGGGCTCTTTTAAGCAGGGTGGTGATCAGTGTTTCTCCTTGTCCACTGAATATGCTTCTACAGGAAGTTGTAGAATCCCCATCATTGGAGATTTTTCTAAGAAGACTGTAGACAAAAACCTGTCAGGGATGATCTAGTTCTACTTGGCCCTGTCTCAGTGCTGGGACTGGGCATGATAAGTAAGTACATGAAGTTCCTTCTTGACTGATATTTCTATGATTCTTTGTATAATATTTAGTGTCCTTTAACTGAAGTAGAAGGGCCTGTACTTTGGCGCAGAAGGATCCGAGCTCTATCCATTCTACATCATTCTAAGTGGCCATAATATGAACCGTAGTTGCAACTGAAAAGTCCTAAACGGCCGTGGACTTGTTACTATAGTCTTATCCCCGTTTTGCATCTGGGCAAGTTGAGACACACCGGTCCTGATTCTTTGCAGTTTTAGGCCAGTGTATAAAATGCCACTTTTCTAAAACAAGAGCATTAGAGGCAGGATTACAATTTGATACTGCCTCCAGATCCACACTGAATCTCCTTTTTAGCATGCTGTGATGTGAGGCCCCAGGACTGGATCTGGCATATTTGTTTTTTAATTTTGCTTCCTTTATTTGAATTGCTAGGCAGTTGGAAAATACTATTGCTGACAAAACACAATTGTAATCGATCCAGTTTGGAAGAAGCTCAAGGAAAATGCTAATAGTCATTTGTAACTGAAGGCAGATCTTCCCTACAGGGGAGCGTGCTGCGCTTTGAAGTTTAGCCACGATATCATGACTTTATCAAGTGAAGCTAAATAGCTGCCTGTCTCTCTGAGGGCAGATAGCAGATTACCCTGCCAAAGAGAAAGATAACCTACTGCATTGTGAAGAATCTTGGGATATAATGTTGGGGATATGGGGGAGCAAGGAGGAGAGGAGTTACTAAGACATGTGTGCACTTTAAACAGATCAGGAGGAAATACCGCAGGTGTGTCAGTTGTGTTGGATGACTATACGTTGAGCTCTTGAAATAAAAATCAGTCTCTTTAAATGCTTCGTGAGGAACAGGCCAATGTTCTCCAAACAGCAGCAGGTACAATGCAGAGAAGTCACATGCAGAGCTCTGCATCAGATAAGTTGATTCACAAGTGCTGGGTTTAAAGACAAGGTTCACGACTGGCCCATACTATTTCAGGAGAGTTGTGCTCTAGGTGTTGTTACATAACAGTATTTGGCATGTATCCAGCATCTCAGTAAAATC